CTCGAATCCTTGGTAATCAGCCGTCCTTGTCTAACTCGCACAAAAGTGTTCCTGTCTCTATCATCGCCAGACGAACTTGAAAATTGTTCTTTTTACGACTTGCCCAGACGAGAACGTCGTATGTGTTTGGGACATAAGTGACTTTGTTCCTTAAATTCTATTGTAATACGATTTATATTGCAGTTTAACTATGTTTTGTATGACTTTTAATGTATGTAACAGGTGATCAAGTTATCTCTCTCCGACAAAACAAAATACATCTCAAGCCCAGAGCTTTCGAGTTTATACCGCGATTGCTTTTTGTAGCCGACCCTATTCTTACTGCATTTTGATCGTAACGGGTTCAATTCAACAATCCATTTGATCTTTCGTTACGTTAGAAAATCACTACTCAGCTTCTTTTTAATGACTTATTTTGCATATACATATATTACTTGCTTTACTTTGACAAACTTTTCTGATCACTCCAAAATACCTAACAGTTTTGTATTGCGTATTGTAATTAGAATTTTATTGAAATTCTTTATTATATCGAGTTCTTAGGTTCTTTATTATATCCAAGCATACGAAGCAGAAAAATGACATCAACGTGTGAACAGTACATCTCTTGTTTCGTCCAGGGAAGTATGTCACCTTATCTATTTCTGCCACCAAGCACTAATCTAAGCATTATTGCAATCCGGTTTTGAAAGGTAAGTATGATGGTGAAATTACAGACACATGGGGCTTGTCAATTTATGTCTCGGGGTAGTGGCAGTGTCCCTCAGATCTTTGCGATTTAAAGTTTTGAGTGGCACTGCAACTGTCATGGATGGACAGGTCGCTTACCATCAGGCGCACGCTTTAATTGTCCCGTCGCTTGATATTATAAAAAAAAGTTACCAATTATTTACTGTTTATTTTCATCAATTACAAATTACACATTCCACTCATGAGCATGGGTCTCCTCCAAAGGAAGGGTTTAAGCCATAGCTTGCTACGGTGACCCAGTGTTATTAAATAATTTTATAACTTACACGTAACAAATAGTATTTTTGAGTATGGATCACACGTGGCTTTGGGTAATTTTCAGGTCAGTTTTACTACCTAATTTCAGTGGCAATTTTTATTATTTAAGTAAATTATCGTGAAATATTAAATCACACTTCATGATTATATTCAACAGTGTTTAAATAATCGAAATTACCACCTAAATCAGATAGAGAAAACTTCCTTGAAAATTGTTAAGTAGTTGTTAATTATAACATTGCTTCAATGGAACGTTCATTTTAATTGATTTAAAAGGACACTGGACACATAATATGTTCAATAAGAAATGTCATGGTGTTTATCAATTCAATCGTTTTTTAGCTTCCTATTCATGTTATATCAACAGGAATGAGATCTGTCTAAGTCTGCAAAAGTTTCCAAGATACAATCCTATTGCATGATTCATGTTATATTGAAGGTTCTCGCATTGACAACTACATTCTATTGTTAATAAGAACATTCGTAGGCTTCGTTGTCGTTTTTGTTTTGTTATTTATAGCTATTACCATTTTTGATTTTAAATTGCATGCGATATTTATGATAGTCGTCATAGTTGAATAATATCTTATTAAAATGTGTTTGGGATTTAATTTTAATAATATATTTGTATTGATTTATAGCGATGGCTTCATTTTATAGGTACATGAAGTGTGTTGTATAAATTAGCGTCCGATAAATGGTATTATTTTGATTTATTATTGTACGGGTTTCTCATTGGATATTGTTATACAAATTGAGTAAAATTTAAATGACTAATCTACTAATACGGGTAAATTATTTTTAATCTTTGTAATCGTTAAAGTTCATGGATAGATATATCGCGGATTCTATAATAAAGTGACTAACTTAAAAAAAAGTGTGCTTTTCATTTATATATTTGTTTACTATATGAACTACAAAACAGATAACAATCTAGTTATATTAGTAATTGATAATAGTTAAATTGTACTCGTTTTTTTAATATACCAACTGATGGAACGAACAAGTCGTGCACCTGGTGGTAAGCGATACGCCTGTCCATAGCAGTTGCAGTGCCACTCAGAGCTTTAAATCACAAAGATTTGAGGAGCACTGCCATTGCGCCCGTGACCATGAGACATAAATTGACAAGTCCAACCTTACCAAAACCCGACCGCAGTAACGCTTACATTATTGCTTGGTGGCAGAAATAGGTATGGTGACATAGGCAGGTGGTAGTACTTCCCCGAACGACCTCTTTCACAAGCAGATCTACTGCTACTAAAATTTTACCGCCATTCCTCTGTTTCGAACGTTCCAATGTTCCCCATTTTTTACTTAATCCTCAAAGGTAATTTACGAGTAGACATTATAATCCATTACTTTCCCACAAAACTTTCAAAACCTGAACTTTCATACCAACTCAACAATGCAATAAGTAAATCCAGGGGACGGACTAAATAATTATCTATTTGTGAAGTGGCAGGCAAATACTCATCACAGTGAGTATACTTTCAAGACTACCGAGTTAATATTTGTTCAGAGATGACAGACGACTCAAGCAAGACAAATTTTCTGGGAAGCTATACAAAAATTCCTTAGTCACACAGAAGCTGGACTAGTTTTAGATTTTAGGAGTTTGTGAGTAAATAGAATGAGCTCTCAAAATTATCATCGTTAGATATTTGAGATAATTCTTTTTAATTGACGATGTTAGTGTTAAAAGTAAAATGTACCAAATTAAACTCGGTGGATCCTTTTTCAAAAGTGAATAATATATCCCTTTCATGAGTACAGTGCTATCACTTAGATAATACCGCACATAAAAATGTCTTTTATTAATTCAATATGAAATGTTCAATGAATTAATTTTTGTCAGTACTTGTTGATACTTCTCTATGTAAAACAGTAGGCGGCAACTGCGCAGAAAGCACTTATAGCCCGTTTTGCGAAATAGATCTCAAAAAACCGACTAGTTGTTTTGAGATCCATACAGTGAAACGTGTACTAAATATTTAATTTTACCGTTATTTGGCCGTATATCATGGACAATGAAGGGGTTACGTCTTTTTTTTTCTATAATTACATTACATAACAAAATATCAAAAAGAATTTGTTTCTAGTTTGACAGAATTGGTTTCCGTTTAATTGAGCAGCAAGTATGTGGAAAAGAGTAGCCATCATTCTAAAATTTGGCTTTTGTGGCTAACACAGTGGTATCCACACTACCGCAAAATTACACATTTCTATGTTCTTTGTTTTTAATTTGTAGAATTTTGGTTGAAATATACCATTGATTTGAAACGTAATGTTCCCTTTTTGTTTTTAAATAAATAGAAACCCGAAATTTTTTACGTTTACGGGAATAATTCAAGTCAATTTTTTCTACCTAATTTCGGTGGCAATTTCTATAATTTAGAATATTATCATGAAGTGTTATTTAATATTCGCGTGTAGTAACCTGAAATATTATTTAAAGTTATTTTACTCGAATACTTAAATAATCTAAAAATTGCCGCAGTCCCTTTCCCTTTTGCAGGGAAATAAAGTTTTTTCAAGTTCTTATGATGGAACCAATTAGAAATGATAGATAACCCAGAAAATAAGATCGCGTTACTTGGTGTAATGAATCTTCCTAATTTTATAGCGCTAAAATATTTCGTATCTACGTTTATCTTTTCTTTTTGAAACTTTTATATGTATTAGTTTGTAAGGGGATGCCTTAAAAAGCTTTGTTTCGGCCCTTTGTATAACTGCAGTTTTATTTGTGGATGCACGATAACGCCGATAACACATTCTACCTGATCTTTTGTATATTTAACAGTATCACTTGCACGTGTTTTTTTATTTGTCGTTTTGTTGGCTTACGTTTTGGTAAAGTTTCTTTAGCTTCCCTTTTTCTATGCTTTATTTGTATTTTTATGATTTGCTTCCGGTGATGTTCTGAATTTTGTATTATATATGTAAACATCATTTATGTAAATATCATGCCATAACTCTGCACTTAATGGGTTAATTTGGAAAAAGTGTGATAAAAACGATCGAAATAAATTAACCTGTGCTTTTACGCCGTAAATGAATTTTTAAATTTTTATATGTGCATTATTGAATGATATGCATTTGCGTATAATTTATGTTTTCACTAGAAAAAACATTTTAGTTACTTTAAAATTATTTACCCTTTTTTGCGTGAAAAAAATAGAGGTCCATAATACTGCCCTCCTTATCAAAACTGACGCAATCGGCATTTTTAACGAAATTAAGTATTAACAAATCTGGAATCAGCGAAGCTATGTCTATAACTCCGTATATGCAATTTTTTATATCATATTTAGCCTCACTTTTAATGTTTAATGTAAAATCGTAAGCGAAATTTGAATTGAAAAATGTCTCAAATAAAAAAAAACTGAAGGTCTGAATATCTCGAAAGTTACCAAAATACAAATACTTTAGTCATGGCAAGGAGGGCAGAATAGATATTAGAACATCATAGCCTGATAAAAAAATATATAAAAAACTATTATTACATATTTTATGAATGTGTTATAATTCCAGTTTATATTATGTACTTTTTTATAACACCTAACATGATATTTTATACCTACAATTTATACATACCCCCAACTAACAAAACTAATCAATAAACACCATTATCGTTTATGCAAATATACGAATTATCATTGTTTATGTTAGTGCATCAGTCAGCAGAGAGCGCTAAGAAAATGCGATTAAGACATTATCTGGTTAGCACTATCCGTGTAAGAATGGGACGGAGAACAAATACTCGTATAATTTGTACGGAAATAACTTTCCGTGGGAGAGGGACGGCGCGATTGAAATGTCAGACTCGATGCACGCATAATGAGAAAACTGCCGTCTCTTTCTCGCAAGACGTCTTACAATCGTTTATTGTCATGTTACTGTCTCGTTTCGACAGCGAGATTGAGATGAAATCGCCGGCGGCGTTCTGCCCGTGTCCTCCCGATTGCTTGCTTTGCTATATCGGTCGGAGCCGCGCGCGCGACGGACGTTAGACTGCATTTTTTGCTTTTTTGTTATTTATCCTCTAAACTATCGCTACAAACAATCTACTGAAACAACCCCAGTGACTTTTGAATTCCAGTGCTTGTGTTTACAACTGAATTGTTTTATTCTTAATTCTTAAACAGTGACCAAAGGTTAATTAAGATATTATTGACAAGTGTACATGTGTTCTGTGCTGTATTTATTATTATGCGAATGGATTGCTACCGCCTTCGACATATATTGACATCTGATGACCTGACAAATCGAGATATCAATGTAAGTTTGTTCATTTACTCAATTAACCTAAATAATTACGACCATTATAATGATACACTATGCAAAACAAGTGATTAGAACGTATATAATTTATATAATTGCATAATATAATTAATAGGGACTTCTTTACGTAGTTTGAACTTTGGAAAGTTTGCCAAATGCTGAATTTGCATCATTAGCTGCGACATTTTCGAAATTCCCGTCGGGCTTTTGTAGTCGTCTTTTTGACTGCAGTGACACGTTTTGGGTTAAGCAAAAGCTTTCAACATGTGGTCCAAAGAAGTTTGTACCTGCTTCGGCCAAGGGCTGACTTTTTGTAAGTTAAAAACAAAGAGTCAGGCGACGGGGAGCCCGTCGCCGGCCGGTGTTGCAGTACAGTCACGTTTTTAGCATTTCCAGGAAATTACTGAGAATATTTAACACTGTTGCTTATTAAATGAGACGTTTATGTACATTTCTTATTTTAGTTATACTAACACAACTGTAAAATTGTCAAAAGGGCGACTATTTACTTATAATTATATAATAGAATTGTACTTACTATCTTTGCTCGTAAGTATCATAAAATAATCATATTATGTCCATAATCTAGTTGCGAAGTAATTAATATGCTTTTCAATTTCTCTATTTCCATTCCATTCAATATAAATCAACGGCATAAATGAAGTCTTATGTAGTTTACTATAATAATTGTATCATGTCTAAGTGCATTCAATTATAATGAATATGTAAATTAAAAGCTTACTGGTGCGGGGAACTACATTCATTTGCGGTTACATGCAAATCCAGTGGATGGTACTAGTTTTATACAGTTTTATTGTAGTCCCTTAGGACTAGCAACACTAAATAAAATGGTAACATACTATTGACCTTCTATTTTCATTTCTATACTTCAGATATATTGAACAAAATCATAATAAAATTGCAGTGTTTCTTGCATACGTTAGAAAATATTTTATAGTTAAAAAAATTAAAAGTCCTGTTAGAATCATTAATCTACAATACAGTACGTCTACTTAATTTTTTAATTTCATGTTTAATAATGTTTTACCTACTTTTTTATTTAAAATGGCGAACTAACCAAAAAAGATGGCGTATCATCTTTAAACCACGTGCCTATGTGTTTAGAGGCCTTTACCATGTTAATGAAAAGTAATTATTTTGGACTTTGAAGACAATACCGTCACTAAACGAAATTCTCTCTTTTCTTAAAAGTTGTTTTCCAAATTTTAACTTTTTCTTTTAGCGACGGTATCGATTTCAGTGTGTGATTTACATAACAAGAAAAAAAATACATTTTGAGTCGTACTATGTTATTTTTTCTCTATCAAAATTTAACTTTCATTGCGCCTATCAAAGGGATCAATATATCTTCAAATAAATATTAATACCTAAACATCCTTATCGCCTAGCAATCAATTTCCAATAACTTCGAATACCTCATTAATATAATGACCGTACATGAAGACATTAAACTTCGAGAGCGCCAATTTTCATAACGTCATAATAACTTTGCATTTCACGATCCTGGGCGAGGTTTCACGAAGTGCGGCCGAGCGCAGAGATCACGAAGACACGAACAGATAGAGTAATGATTTGTTTGTATCGCAAAATCGATGCCATAGACTCTCAATATCTTCAAAATACAGAAAATCCTAATTTTTTTAAATTTATTGAGGCTTTGGCTAAACCATCAGTCTAATAATAAATTATTAAAAGTACATACAGAGTTTTAAATGTAACAAAAACAGTAAACTATTTTCTATAAATAATAGACACACGCTTGGCCACAATCTTACCTGATTTAAGCGACGATGTGACCGACGATGGTACGCGTTTGCCTACAAAATGCCTATTTACTCTAGTCTTTGAATAGCCCCAAATTGTACTTTTTGGGAAACAGGTGCTGCGATTTTGAAAGTGTTTCATTCCTTAGACGTAAGCATCTTAAAGATATAGGTAAAGTAACATGAAGGTATAGCTAAACTAACTACTTCATTACGAAATATCATAAAAAAGAAATTAGACATTTGCAAGTTTTTTTTTTTTTTTTTTTTTTTTTTATACATGACAGGCAAATGACTCCACTCCACCTGATGTTAAGTGGAAAGTGGTATCCAAACGCGAAGGAACCTTATTAAAGTTACATTATTCTAAAGGTTTTTCAAATTAAAAAAATATTTGATAAAAACTTGTGTTTTAAAAGGTCCCGTACAGTACTGGGAATTGTTTTACGTTTGAAAATGTCTTGTTTTAATGAAACAAATAACATAAAATAGTAATTGAAAACAAAAACAAGGGAAGTAACTGATTTTTTATTCAAAATTTATGACATGTGAAACAAAATAATCAATAAAGAAACTTTTAAAACATTCGGATTAGAATCTGAAATAATCAGTCAATAAAAGAAGTCTACAACACTTCAGAAAACTCAAGCTCTTTTCAGTCAGAACTTTATAACTAAGAACAGCAAGTTATATACGTAAAACTTTAATAATTTCACATCATGATTATACTTACCATAGAACAATCTCCATCCGTTAATAAGTGTGTCAAATTGATTGTGCATGGTTCGACTAAACTTATTACCAGGTAATAATGCAATTATACGTTTTAATCACTACTTAGATGAAGCTTTACATGGGAATATACTACACTGTAATGGTAGTTACATATTACATCATTGTTTTGGTTTTCTGAATGACCTGCTACCTTTTTATCAGTAATATTATTTTAAATTGCAACTAAAAATTATAATTTTGAATAGTTCACTTCTAAATATTTGTTGTTTAACTGCATTGTGTTACATTTCTTCATTAACATTGTTTGTTACTTCATGATTCTTTTCTCTAAAATAACGTGAAGATTTGATGATTTAAATCGGAAACTTGCATTAATTTCAGTGTTTAATAATGAATAATTCTTCAACCTTTAAGATCTTCAAAATTTCGTATTATCTATATCTCTACAATGTAAAATAGTCTTTAACATTATCGATATAGCTTTAAATATAAACATGCACGTCTATATCGTTCATAAACTACACCGTGCTTTCTCGAATACACGACTGAGCGTCTAAACCATTTATTACTCTGTTACCTTTATCGTCGCTCGCGCAGGTCGTCGACTCGTAAGCGATTGGATCTCTCTATTGATCCTCGATCAGGTTGATTAAGCAATTACCAAAACTATGTTTTATTTTCAACTAGAATTTTTGACCTGCGGCGTTTTTTTGTATCGACATCTTTTGGAGATTGTAGGTTCATTTAAGTTAAAAGAAATTATTGATTTGCATTTTTATTACAAGATTTTAAATACAAGAGTTGGTCATAAGTTTAGCTATTCAAAGGGAAAATGTTGCCAGCCTTCTGGGCACGATGCCTCAGGGTAAAGGAAATTTTCGATTCATATACTTTCAAATAGTATATCATATTATATTTATATTGCAATTTTTATGTGCAATAATTTTGTATTATCAACAAGAGAAATATATTTATAAATAGCGCTACCAGGCGCCCGGATAAAGGCGGTCATAGTTTTTGTAATGTGCATTTTATATTTAACCTAGTATTATTTTGTTTCATTTCAATTGGTAGCCATTGCAATAAAAGATGATTGTTAATAAAGAAGACTGATTTTTTTCACTTCAACATTAAAATTTTTTTGACATTGAACATTTTTCGGTAAACGATCAAAAAAGCCTGGATTTACCTTAGAGAATGGAAAAGGTCTAAGGGATTTACATAAAAAAATCGTATTAACCGTACGATACAAAAACCGTAAAAAATATAGGGTGTGCGGTCTTCTTACACAAATGTCCGGCAAAAAAATAAATAAATTAGATACAATGTAGGTCAGTATTGAAAACTGTACTTTGACTGAATGAAATGTTTATGTACTCCATATTGACCTACGTACTGCAATACATAGCGTAGAAACTAAACTCTTCCGATAAACTTTTATGTAGTCAATCATTGACTTACAATTATATAGTCAATGTAAGGATGAAGAAATAAAAAATACTGGCTAGTAATGGCGGCAGTTCGGTTTTACGACCTGGAAATCCTATTTACAACTGTCTACTTATTGTTGTAACAATTGTTGTTCACAAATTATTTATCCAATTGTTTATCACAAATTATTTTGCAATATTGTTCACCTCTTACCGATTTAACCAACAAAAGTAGTGTAAGCAAAATATATAGATTAAAACCCATTTTTAACTCCGACTCATAAAGTTTATCTGCAAATAACTATTGTGATTGAAAATTGTATGAAAAACGTAAAAGATGCAACGCAACAATGTACCTATTTATAAAGAATAACAAAATATAACTTCCAAAATTTTTTATGTTGACCATCATGGTTTCTTTTCCTGTTAGATAGCACAGATGACAATCGCACTGTTAGGGCTTAGTTTTCATACAAATTCACAGGGTTGTTTATAAAATACTAAGAATCTCGCAACATTGTATGACCATAATAATAAACAACAAAATGACATTTTAAGTTTCTGTCGTATTATCTGACACTTTTTGGATCTACTTTTATTTTTCATTATCCTTTCAAACGTTGTCTCTGCCATACTTGTTGATTGGTTGAACTTTATATATATAATTAATTAAGAAATAATAAATAAACTACATTCAATTCAAGTGCAATGTCCATACGAAACATATACACGTAATAAAACCGTACACAAAAACAAGAAAAAGAAATAAAAATAATATTTTATTTTTGAAAATAAATTAACGTGAACATAGATTATCCCACTTACATTAGTTAATACATCACAATGGGAATCTAATATACACAGTTTTAAGTGAGTGTGTGTTGAACCATTTGAAAGCCATCTCGCCCACGTAACAAACATGCTTTAGTTTTCATTTCATTTTTTTAACAATTACTATAAACAGTGGTAGTAACAATACTGCAAAACCCTTTCCAGAGCTAACAGGCCAATCTCTAACCTAGATACAATAAATTACAATTTGTTATGA